CCAACATTCAACTCAGAACTCCGCTACCTTACACCCTTGTATCACACCATCTGTTTTCAAAATCTATAGGTGATTTCGGTTCCCGAACATCGCGCAGTTTTCGTATTATCAAAAATACCAGGTAGAAACGGTAGATTCATCGTAAAAGTTTAGGAACATCGAGAGAACTCCATCGTCCCTGTTTAACATAGGAATACCAAACGAAAGCATGTAAACATACATAAGCTTGAATACTTTCACAAATCGGTGAAATATCTTCGATAAAGGAATGAAAAAACGTTACGAACGAATTAATCGGAAAACTCACGGTAGCTGTATGATTCTTCTTTGGCTTGATGATAACCGGCGGCGGAGCTTGACTCATGGCTGAAGTATATTGCGTTCTTGTAAGAAATGAGGTGAACGGTATGCTTTTCACGCAGTTCCCAGTTTGATAGGCAAACGAAGCTGACAGGCCTGACAGCAGAAACCGACTCAAAGCAACACAACGTCCTGTCATGCACCCAGAAGCGAAACCCAGCTAGAAATGTACGTCACAAAAACACAGGTCATTTATACCAGGAGGAGGTTTAAAAGGATTGCAGGTAGATGCAGGCTGCTTATAACAGCCACAGTATTCTCTAGAGACTTCTTCAACACAGATCAATATGAACATTTATCGTGGCCAATAGGAGATGGAGGAACCCTGAGAGACCTACGGCTCTGAAGGAAGATGTGTGAATCATGAAACCTGTGACATTTCCAGCCCATCAATTATGGGAAAATGAAACACTGAATCATGCTTCTTCAGTATCCACGACACATCCTTTTCTGCCACGAAAAGAAGTAACCAAATCAAAGCCGAGACATAACCCTACCACTATAATAGCATGCTCACACTGCTAGTCAATGAATACACAAATTACAACGTACATATAGCAATTTTGCCTTCCCGGATCAACTCAGTAACACCTAACTCACATGCTTCAGTGCGCCTACGTAGCAAAATGACGGTAGAAAGATGAAACAAGTACGAAAGGTGGATATACAACCTTGACTGCCAACTAGACATGACTATTTCAAAATTGTTATTCGTAAATCAACACTAATGTTAGAAAAACACCAAAAAACAACGAAACAACAACCACTGCAACACAACCCGTTCGAGAAGAAGGTATCACTAATTACCCGTTAGAGATAGACAGTTAAAAACGCGAACATTAAACTGTACGCACCGGAAATTAAAACAGAAACCCGATTTCAAAATGAAAAATAAAATTACGGTCATGTACAGTAGTCTATGACATCTCCTGATAGTCTACTCATTAGCACTAGAAATAATTGCTGATGTCATTAACATTATTATCTTGATATGAACATCATGTATGGATTCGACGATCGTTGAACACGGAAGAATTTTTGCGTTTAAAACACATCAGCATTTACGAGAAATGGTAAACATTCAAAATTACAATAAATTACTACAATTATAATTGACTTTTACTCGAATATACTCTGATTACGAACTCACTACTCTTATGCAAACTCCTAGCCATGCTAGCATGCTTTTGCTCCGCAATTCATTCCCCATGGAAGCACCAACAACTGTCTGCCACATAGTCCTCTCGTAGTAGCTCGCTCAATATTGTCATCTTCTGAAATCATCAAAAATAAGTAGTTTAAATGCAAACCATAGAATAACGAAAATAAATATTACCAACATAGCAGCTGTGATCAAGCAAGTCGCCCTCAATGCGACAGAACCTCCAAATATTTGACATCCATTTTTGGTTCTTAACAAAACAACCGTTGAATGATGGAAAGGGATATAGTTCGCCAAAGAATCAGTAGCAGTTTACCAATTCAAATGTCCTTTCTATTCAGCGATGCATTAGTCGCACATCTATCGTTTTTGATGACGCACCAAACGTCACGCAAATAGTGACATTTGATCGGCATGGTAATGAATATGGGAGCCGCTCATTCTCCACTGCCGTATAATTCCGGAGTAAAGTTCCTGCAAAGGTCATTCGAGCGAAAAGTATTACATATGTAACAGAGAAGTCTTAAAAGTAAAAGATATTAGTTAGAGTCTAGGAAACCAAAAGAAAAGGATTAAAATAAGAAAAGAGAGAAAGGCGGAACAAAAAGCTCAGCCTTCTACCTCAAATCCTTGGAAATGGAACAGCGCAACAACGTTTGTGTATGGGAATTTTTTTACAGCTCGGTTCAGCAACGTCTTCGTTGATGCATGAATTATCGGAATCTGACGAGTAATGCATTCAGCCCGTAGGGCATGAAATAATGAAGGCCCTAAAATCAGAACAAGATTGACCATGACAGCGATGCAAGGAAACATTTAGATCGCCGGGGATGGAGCGAGAAGCCTGACCTTTCATAACAGAAATCGATCAAAAATTTAGTTAAAACTCTGTTAAGTTAAACAAAAATAAAGTTACAACTCAGAGCTGTGATAGGTTGAACCCATACATTGATCTGAAGGCAAACACCTAACAAATCTTATTGGGCTTACACCCTAACAAGATCGGAATCTCAGAAAAAAAGAAAAGACCTGTAATCAACTCGTCGTCGAGATTTCGTGCCACCACAACGCATTTCACGTTTTCTGCTCTGACGTGCTTGAGTGATTCGTGAAGTCCACATACAAACGTTCTCTTTGCCCGAGCCTATACATTTCTAGAATATTTTCAAACTATAATTCATTCGAATTGAAGAATTGAAATGAACCAAAAGTCAATAGTGAAAGAGCGATATCGAAGCGCCATAGCAGCAGCGAAATAACTAACGAACATGCTCGATTCGATTAATAACCTTTTCTAATTGAGAGTGACACTGTAATTGCTAGGGTATTGAGTAATAGTAATAGCATAGCAGCCTGTGAAATACACAATCAAAATGCTAAAGAAGAAGCTGTGAAGCTGCAGCCTTCTGAAAAAGCTTTCTATGCTGTCAATTCCCTAGAGAACGGAAATTGAAGGATAGATTGCCTACTGCCGCTGATTCTTCTCAAATGTCGGGGATTTCACCAGCGATTAGAATAGCGCCTTCGACTTTTAGTATACCTAGGCGATTCCACCCACCGATCATTGATTCTATTTTGAAAAAAACTTAGTGCAAGATCAAGTATCTCATAGAAAGTACCGTTTGCTCGAAGTTGGCCACACCCACAAAGGCTTACAGACTTGCTTCCGCTACGTTTCACTTTAATTAACTTACCTTCGTTTGATTTACTTCGTAGATGGCATCAGTTTGCTTCTTCAATCTTTTCAGGAGATCAATAACCATTTCATCTAGAGGCGTTGGTGAGAAAGGAAAGCTGATGATTGGTGAGCATGGAATTTCACAGTTTTCTCGGGCTTTCAGGATTTTCTGAAGTATTACACTTGACTCTCTTTCTACCTTGTCGCAAATCGCCTTTTCGGTTTTATGGTAATCTTATGCCGAATCAGAACCTACCTTCTTTGTAGGAGTCAACTTCTTCTCCTTTCTTATTCCTCTGCGTTCAGTCCTGTCAGATTTCTCATCAAGATCCTCGATTACATCGACTACTGGCTTAGAGCTCAACTTTTTCAGCCCAACCATCTTTCGTAATTGATTATCAACCAGATATTCTTTTAGATCAATCTGGAAATTCTACGATTCTTCGAAGTTTTTCAGAGCGTCACCTGGAAATCTTATTCAGAAAAATAATATTCACCTCTTTCGCCGGTTTCTTCTTCTTCCTCTTCTGGCCCTCTTTTCTTCGTGGGATTCCCTCATTAGTTTTTCCTATGACTTCTCCAGTCTGATGTTCGGAAGGTACGACCGCTCTCTTAGGTATAGCAGCTTCGGTGGAACCATCGGTCCCTAGTTGTTCGGACGACATCTGAAAGTCATAATCCTAATCAGAAAGTCATAATCCTAATCAGAAAGATAGAGTAAGACTTTAAGTGATTGATTGGGGTAATGGTGACGAGAAGAGCTCATTTAGAGCTTCTTCAATTTACGAATCGCGAAAGTTATACAGACAATGCTTTTCACACATGTCGAACAGAAGTTACTGTAAGGACGTTGACAAATCACATGAACGTGGGTCGAAGTTTTATACAGACTTTTAAAACGCTACAGTCCCATTTGCATGACATGTCGATGTCCCCATGTGATCATCGAGGTGTCTATCAGCATGAAACCGCAGCGCTGTCGCCGTTGTTGCAACTACTAGATTTACCTTAGAACCGGTTAAATAAAAAATAGTTACCAATAAAATATCAATTTGGAGAAAATGAAGAGCACTCCTCTAAACACACCCACGTTTTAGTAAAGAACATGGATGCTTATATGAGCATCAATCCTTCAGGAGGAATATAGAAGGTGCTGAATAGGGAAAGATGAGCCCAAAGCAGAGAAGCTTCAGGGGATACAAAGAGAGCGAGCAGCGTCGTAAGCTTGAGGATGGGGGCGTCAAATTTAGGCATCCGATAGATCCTCTTAGAAGCCCACCCCCTTCTCCTCCCCTTGTGATAGCGACGTCTATACTGGCTTTTTCCCTTTCCCCAATTTCATGCCGCTCAGCGTCGCCTTAACAGCCATAGTTTTTCGAGCTTTCGAAGAGCTCAGTAATTTGCTTTCTCGCTCTTCTCTTACGACTCCTTGAAACCCTCAATTCCTTTTTATGTGTGAACTCGAATGGGCGTGAAGCCCTACTGAGACATTACGAAAAAAAACTTTTTTTCTGATATCCGCTCTGTGTTAGCTACACAATTAAGGAAATAAAATTTGAAAAAAGCATTAAGGAAATAAAATTTGAAAAAAGGCAAAGTATCGTACTTTCGATCTATGCTTTCTGAACATGCCAAAGGAAGGCTTTAACTTTTTATTCTGCTTCACAACTACAAAATTTTTCTACCAAAAATAATCCCATAATATGAATTACACGTTTTTCGAGTAATCATCCCAATTCACTTCTCCAAACTGTAGAAATAACCTAAGATTTAAATGTAAGGAAAACCCCTATAGCACAACATATGACTCTGTTTTTCAAGACTATAATCCTTATAAATAAATTACATTGCAGTAGCCAGAACGGTAAGTTGACCATACCTCTGAAAATTTCCTGATACAGGGCAAAAAAAGGAGCTAAGAGGGACCCCCCAAAAAGCTCCAGAGCTATAGAAAGTTAGGAAATTGAATGTGAGGGTGGAGGTGATAGGTGATAGGTGTAGAGGCAAGTAGCGCACCATCACATGCGCATGAGCTTGGGATCGAGTCCTGTAGCGATATCTGCCAAAGCCAACCAGACCTTTGGTCCATCCAAGGTTGGTCTTGATACCGGATTCATCTGGGAGGTTAAAAGAACAGTCTTATTCACCTGGTCACCGCGATTAATTGTATAACCGCGTATTCAACACGGAGACTACGAATCTGGACTGAAATGTCAGGGATTGTGTGTGTGTGTGTGTGTGTGTGTGAGGGACCCCCAAAAAGCGGGATTATTTAATGCCAGAGACTTTACCCTTGCCTTTACCTTTGAAATGAGGAGTCAGATTTTATTCGAGGATTTCCATATTTAAAGGTACCCAGAATTTTCAGCGGAAGAGCTCACCCGTAAACTAACTTTCTCTTGAAGACCTACACTAATTAATTCGACAACCAAAGTCCACTGAAGCTCTTATTTCTGTAGAAAAAGTTAATGACAAGTTTTTTAGTCTCCAATGTTTTTGCACTATTAGTCAGACCTCGTTAGAAGCAAAGCATAGCAAAAACTCGTCTACTGCACTCTTAAATGTTCGGAGGAAGACACTTCTTTTGCAGGGACTAAACTTCAACAAGAACTGATAGATTCCCAGCAGGGGAAAATGATGCGGAGGAGGGACTGATAACTGCACCTCGAACTCTGACTAGAATCCAATTTTCACTAGTTCAACCCAGGTGTCAACTTTGTTCACAACAGCGGAGCGTGCGTTCTAGAATTTGTCAATAACGACGCATTGGAAAGGTAAAGTACAAAAGCCCGAGGTATTTGTGCGTATCATGTGCACGATTGAGAAAATAAACAGATATGGATGAAAAAAAAGCAATGCCTCACATAGTGGAAGTTGCAGGTTTCACCTTCGCAAACAATCCAATAAATTCTTCCTCAGTTGCCACGCCCACAACAAAAGACACGTCCACCTATGTGTGCCTTGTGCAATCACGTATTTTAGACGTGTGAAAATGGTGTAAAAGCCGAATTCATACTCTGCTCGGGTCCATTCATTGTGTTATGTCTTCGGCAGTCCATTAAAGACTGCGCCGTTTCAGCGATTTAATATCCGAAAAGGAAATTTGGTTCTGTCTATTTGCGATTACAGCTGATTCTACATATCACAACTTCTACAACAACAGGGCGGTGGGTTAATGTCCATTTTTGGTTGGAGCATTTGCAGGGGGCTCCGGGCGGAATAGATTAGTTTAGTAGGCTGTTCCGACATTTTTCTCACATCATATAACTGTACTTGATTAAAGAGATGATTTGTGAAACGCTCAGGCTGACCTTTTTCCGTTTACGCTAGGTTTTGACTTCCGTTTGAAATCGTGCTAGCATTGATATTAGGCCTTCTAGAGTCTGTGTGTGAACGGAAGTCTCAACTAAGTTTGCCCGTTTTGCCTTCCGGAGAAATCGGATGGAAGTAGACCAGGCTTGCTCGAAGATAT